TGTCTGCTGCCCACTCAGTACATCGGTTCCTTTTGCTCTCGCGCTGGCCGACTGAGTTTCTTTTGCTTTTTAAAAGCGTAGGATACCCCGATCTAAATCAAACGCTGACACGAGCGTTGTCCTAAACGCCGGTAGCGGCTTGTGTAACCGGCGGCTCTGCTGCTCACCGTCCCTCCCTCCCTCCCTCGGTACACCAGCGTGATGTTCTCCCCTCAGACCCTCCACCGGGACCGCTGGAGCGTGAGGGTTTTGATCCAGAGGTTTCTTCCCAAAGCAGCACGACATTTTTGTGCTTGAATTAGGATTTATAAATATTTTAACTCAAAATGTGGTTTATCGTTAGGTAGATCAAAACTACACCTAAACAGTTCCGATAAAGCAGCGGATTTTTAAAAATTTGCCCCGTTAAACTTTAACAGTTTCACATTTGATGATGAATATTATAATATTCTTATAAATTATAATATGTATTATGAGTAAGTAATAAGTAGAACCCAATGAATGCCTTTTGTAAAACAAGGGGCTTTAATGGAAAAGTATAACTGTGTTGGGCTGCTGGTGCATTGTCATTGTTCTATAGCGATAATGTTTGCAGTGTTTACATCACCACCTTTTAACTGTGATTGACAAAACGAAAGCTTTGTTCAACTTCATGGACCCAAATCAGAAAACATGACCAAGCACAAATGGAACCAAAATTGAATTTATTATGAATGAAACTGAGCCATTTGAAATGAAAGTGATAGTTAATATAATTTTTTAGAAAATACAAATAGTGCAGCCAAACAGTTATAAGAATTGTTGTTACCCTGATCTCCGTATAATCCTGGTGTGTGTGTGTGTGTGTGCGCGCGCGTGCGCATTATATACAGTACTAATGTGTGGGCACCTCAGTTTGGATAGAAGTGCTTCCCTATTGTTTTACATTAGCAGGATGTCAGAACCCGCCACTTCCTGTGGTGGACCAGGGCTCTCTGTGCACCGGAGGAGAGAAAGCACTCGACCAAGCTCTTTTCCTAGAAGACCGTGTGTGTGTGTGTGTGTGTGTGTGTGTGTGTGTGTGTGCGTGTGCACTTTTGTGTCAGCATCCACTGAGGCGGATGCTAATGAAGATGTACCTCTAACTGTACAACCGAACAGATGTCTGTGCTCCCGTGCGGCTCGCCGTGGTTCTGTGAGTCATTAAGATGCTCCACTTTGTTGGGGATCTGATTAAATCAGAAACAGAAATGAATGTCAGCGTGCAGCAGCGCCGTGTTTGTCTGGGACCAAACTCGAGCGCACCCAGCGTTCCTCCTTCGAGGATTAATTACTTGTATGGCTGCTAAGAAAAAGTTTACTTTAGATAACAACAAAAAGTGCAAAAGAGGGTGTTCACCGTTCTGATTTTTCATTTAAAGTCTGATGTATTTTGGTTTCTGATGGTTGGGTGGACCAAACAAATACTTTAAAATACTTCACCTCGTGCTTGCAATGACAATTTATTTCTCTGTTTTTGGTCAATTTTTTCTCAAAGATAATTTAGTTTCTCCAATTTGTGGTTAGATCGTAGCGTTACACACACACAAACATCCCGCTGAAAGCCACAGTCGTATCCTAGCAGCCGATCTCTTGTGACGCACACCTCTGATTCACTCCTTGGCATTTACTGTTTCCCAACTTTTCGCTTCAAACTTTTCTTTTTAAAACAATCTCTATTTTAGTGAATTGCCAATGACCGTCCATCCGCTCACACACGACAGCTCCATGTGATTTATGGCACGCACGCTCCTTTTTTCATTTGCTTGCGGGCTACGTTGCTGAATAAATGTCAGCATGTTTTATTACCCTACGTCGCTCACGATCCCTCTGTTTCTAAATCAGATTTATAGGGATTTTTTAATGTTTACCGTTGAACCGTGAAAGACAACGTATAAAAGGAATTGAGGATAATTCAAGAAAAGTGTGCACTTATTTAAAAAACGGTTCATTAATCACACCGGATGGAGACATTCAATTATTGTTCCGTCACACAAAAAGTTATGCAAAACTTTTTGCATAACTTTGCAAAAAAGAAAGTGCAATAAAATAGAACAAAGTCCTTGAAGATTCCCACTTTATATCTCCGCTGCAACGGCATTTTAATGGATGATGAGGGAATGTTGCTGTGACATTGAGAGCACACTTTAATTGGGGTTTCTTCAGTCGCTTCCTGGTAAGAAAACTTGGGGTTGACAACAAGTTGGCAACATTAAGCCCCGGAGGAGGCAATCAGCAGAGGTAAGAAATAAGGTACCTGAAGCACACTGATGTCACCGAGTGAACACGTGGAGCCAAAGGATGTAATTCAGGGACGTATCTGAAGCACATGGGCATCTTTTTCCCTTTTCTTTTTTTTTTCCCGTGGGATACCGCAGGTAGAAGACACGCATCGATTGCACTTCCTGGTGCGAGCCTATTGCTTCCTTTTCCGTGTGACGTGATCGATCAGACTCCGAAAAAGAACCGAATCTGTTACAAATTGTCATTTGTTCCACATGCTCTCCTCTCGATTTGTTTATTGAGTTTCTTTATTCTCCGCACATGAAGATCTAAACCCCCAAAGATGATTTCACTTCCTGCACCAAAGAGCTAAATTCATAGTCATCCCCCTCATGGGGAAGGGAATGGTGATTTGAGAGCGGAGGTCACACGGAGCGGCCCGAGCAGGTTCATCGTAGTCTGTGTGAGCGGTAATGAGAGTCCTCCGCCGTGCTCCGTGGGATCACGATCAGATGTCACGCCAACTTAATCCCGTAATGACTCTCTGTCCTTTTGACATCCGCACGTTACAGCCTACAGAGTAGCAGCATCATTATTTCTCCTGGTTCAGGAGACGGCCTTTTTAGCCTCAGGGGGAGCAAAGCTTTCGTTTCACAGGCGAACGGGACGCGGCCAACAGATTGTCCGTTTCCGACTTTGGATCTGATGCCAACGAGCTTCCCGCGTTGTCGTCGGATTTTCTCCGAGCAACTAGAACGACGTCCACACTGTTTGTCGGACAGAAAACATGTCCTCCCCTTTCATGTTCCCTGCTGAAAGGCCATTGATCTGTGCGGCAGGTAATTGTGGCGCGACAACTGGCAACAAGAGAGCAATCTGCACAGAAGAAGAGAAGCCTTCTGTGCAGAGGGAAGCGAGTTGGAAAGATGTGTTTATCAGGCCTAAAAATAAATGTCACTGGAGGGAAGAGATGAGAACTGGTAGAGACACATTGATGCTTTACATTGATCATTTTACAAATGAATGCAGATTGACAGTTTAACGTAGTCTTGCCATCTGGTGGCTTCAATATAAACGAACCGGAATAAAAGTGGTTTCCTTTCCGGTCTTTCTCCCCGTTAACACCAAAGCTACTTGCCATGTGAAATAATGCATCACGTGTCACAAGCAGAAGTGCTGCACATCTGTGTGCCTACTACACGTCCTCTGTTCACTTACATTATTAACGCCTCAAACCGCGACATTTCCAGCTCGTGAACTTGTCCCGACGAGAAGCGCGTTGCTCCCACGCGTCACCTGATGCGCTGGGCGAGCGCAGCGATCGTGCACGGACCCGCGACCGAATATCACTGAGCATCACAGTCCTCGTGCGGCACGGGCACGCGCGTGTCGTTGTCACGGCTCAGCGTGCAGGTGTCACTTGTGCACTCGTCGTCGTTTGCAGACGCCGCGGTGATTTTCCCCACGTTGGTTTCACCCGATGACACGGCCCGTCAGGCGGATGAGACTTTAGGTGGTGTTTGTTGGTGCTCAACAGTCAAGATCTGTGCTTTTTAAATCCTTGTTTGTCCTTGTTACAGTTTGTGAGTGGCGTGTCATTCAAGGTGTTTGGATTCATGGATTTGTTTCGCGAGAATTGAAAAGGCTTTCTATTCAAAGCATCTTACATTACATTTTGAACCCATGGCTTTTTACATTTTTGCCCGGGGAGCAATTGGGGGTTCGGTGTCTTGCTCAGGGACATGGGGCAGCCGGGACTCCAACCACCAAGCTTGTGGTTCCCAGCCTCCCTGCGCCACGACGCCCCGATATGTGGCCCTTCTGCCATCTCAGGTTGGCCCGGTTCTGACACAATAATGCCCCAGCGCTCTTTATATGCGTCCACCGAGGAGCTTCATCTGTCCTCGCACACACACGCGGTGTGAATCCGCGATGGGGGAGATAAAACTTTTTATTTGTTTGGGTTTTGTGGTCCGATGGCGAGCTCGGCGATTGGAACACAACGGGATGAAACGCCCCCGCGCTTTTATACCTAGCACCGCACATCTCTGATCGCTCCTCGCACAGAAGATCCGCTGGCCTGGACTAGTTTTCATACATCAGCTTTTATTAATAGCTCGCTTTAATCCAGCGGGACGTATTTATTCTCAGCATAAATCATCTGTCTCCTCCCCCGCTGGCCTGTCGTGCTTTGTAGTCGATCCATCAGCACTCGAACAGGATTATGAAACAGTCCGGCCTGCGACTCTGCCGCCCCCCCCCATCTCCGCTCCGTCCACCGTGGCTAATTCTGCCTGCCTGCTCCCTGGGGAGTAATTGATCCTCTTATCATTAACCGTATGCGGATCTATCCAGGGGAGGGAAACGCCCACTGGGCGGCCGTACCCGCTCATCGAACCGTAGATCCCCGCGAGGTCGGCGGCGGCGGCGACGGCTCAAACGCACTGGACTCTCGTCACGCAGCAGCGGCTCCGACGTAAAACCGCTGACTGTTACCGGACGGAGGCTGTCCGGTCGAGGCATGGGGAGGCGGAGGACGTGGAGCCTGGCGCCGCGGTCCCCCTTCGCCACCGTAAGGGGCCACCTGGGCCCCCGGAGGAAGGGCGCGGACGGTCTGTGCATGGGCAGCTTGCTGGGGGTCCTGAGGGCCCGCACCTGGCTGATCGGAGACGAGGAGGAGGTGGCCTCGCTGCTGGCCTCCTCGCCGCCCTACCGCCGAGCTCACTCCCTGTCTTTCTCTCTCTGCTCCCCCACTGTAGATGGCGGGAACGAGGACTATGCGGACCCTCGCTCGCCCAGTCTAGACCCCCACCTGAGCCACGGTGGACAAGGTAAGCAAACACGCACACACACACGCACACAAAGAAGAGAGGGGTTACCATGCTGATCTGGAGTGTGCTGGGAAACAGTGTGCACGATTTTTCCCACCTTCACCTGCTCATTTCCCAGAACACCTCTGTGGGCGACCTCTTTTCGGGAACCCTTCAAGAGCCCCCCCCCCTGTTCCCAGAGTTGTATTTTATTTGTCTTTATAGCTGAGAACTTTACGGCTGCTGGAAACATTTTCAGGGGAGACCTGTGTGAATGAAATGTAATTCGAGTCGCTGCGAGGGGAGAGAATCGGTACACAACGCTAGTTAATCAACGAGGGGAATGTCGGCGTGTGTCAGGAACGTTTAGGGCAACTGTAACTAGTTTTTCCCTTCCTAAATGTTTCGAGCCGAACACCTTGTAGGTGTTTCTGTTTTATTTGATTTAAACATCTCTCTCCTCACACCCTGGAATGAAACACCATCAATCAGCGCTTCTGTTTTCTGGATTTCTCTGAATCAGGCAATTTTCCTAAATATTTTATTTTTAAAGGTAAATATACAGAAACAGATTTTTAAAATTTTTCTTGCTTAAATTGGATAGAAATCTATTTAAACGATTTAACAGGATTTTTTTTACAAATTGAGTTACTGGAGTTTGCTAACTTCAGAATATTCCTGAAGGTCATGCACCGAAAAGTGCTTGATTAAGCCACCAAGGGCGTCACTTTAAGGTGGTTATTTCTGCCCAAGATGTGACCAATTTCTTTAGCTACGTGGGGAATCATTTATTCATGGCAATATAATTGTGTAATCAGAATCAGAGCGATAATTGCTCCCAGAATACCAAGTCCGCCCTTGGTATTCACTCCGGGCCCTGCATACACGAGGAGCATTTCCATGCTGCTCCGGCGGTTGTTTTTGCTTTTGCAGTGACATTCCCCACTGGATGGGTGGACGGACTCCTGCACTTCTGGAGAGAGACGTGTGTGTTTATTTCTTATTTCTAAACTATATCTGCATTGCAACAACCGCGGTGACCCCCCCCCGTCCCAACCGTCACACAGGGTTCCTCTGCGGCGGATTAGTGTCTGATAACGGCCTCGTGTTTCACGCTGGTTGCTGCCGCTTGACCGGTTGGTTTTCCGCGGCTCTGTCTGCAGGGACCCGAGCCAGAGCGGAATCACAAAATGGATGTTGTGTTTACAGCCGACTGGGTTTTGTGCTCTGGGGAGTCTAGAGAGCTATTTCTTCTTTTTTTTTTTTTTTTGTAAGTAAAACGCTCCGTCACGATCACAACTGTGCTCGTTTTTTTTTTTAGCTTTGTCGAGACACGTACAGTCCGAATCATATTCACATTGTGGGCCGTTGTGTTACTTTGGGGCTATCGGAGGTCAGGCGGGCTGCAGTTTATTAAAGTGTAAACGCCTCGTGCTGCCTTCGGGGGCTGCGCTCCCTTCTGGGTCAAGCCAATCTCGTCGCACTCGATACGGGCGCTGTGATCCCGACAGAGTGCTCGCACGTGTCTGTCGTGCACTTTTGACAGGAGGTGGACCAATAGGAACGGCGGTAGAATCCAATTTCATCCACAACAGCACCTCTTGTGCTAAATTGATCAGCTGACGGAGGGAAAATTGTATTAGTTTTGATGATCGATAAGTTGTTTGTCAATTGCTTCAGCTCAGCGTCATCTGAACATGTGCTGCCTTTCTCTGTTGAATATATTGTAAATGAAAGGCGAGACACTACAGGCAAAAACATTTTTTTCATGCACTTTTTTGGGGCTATTTTGCAACAGCCAGGAATCTCTAATGCACTTACATTTACCAAACCTTCCAGTTTCATTACCATTTATATTCTGATGGTTTTTAAAGAGGGTTTGTTTGTTCATTTATTATTGTGTGTGCTGGTTATTTCATGAATGTTAGCAGTATTATCGGTTTAATGGAGTGATACGAAGACTTGATTGACTTGATATTTCTACAAAATGAAATAAGCGATAAGACTGTGGCTGAAAGTGGCTGATTTGCACATTCAATTATGCCTATTTATATTAAATATATATATATATATATATATATATATTATATTTACCTTTAGTCTCTCTCAAACTCTCCAACTGTAAAACTAGGAAATACAAACACAGCCTTAGGAAATGGAAAGTGTCTCAGCATTCTATATATCTGTTTTGAGATATCTTCAGCAAGGCACTTAATAATGGAAAGAACCATTATTACCAAAAAATGTATCGTCAAGAATGTGCCAGAGGACTTTTGAGTCTATATTGTTTTATTTTTTTATTCCTTTATTTAAGTACCTTTGTCATTACATTCAGGTGAATGTCATTCATATGAGGCTGAAAGGATGTCCACTCCCTAATTCACAGACTTAGAATATTATATAAGAACTATTACATCGCCGACATTATACATCATCTCCTTGCATTCTTTGCAGCAACAGGCTCCACAGGTTATTATAAGCCTGTCTGTTAGCAGCTCATTAGATTCAGTTGAAAGCAAAGAAAAGCATCTCATCCCGTGTCTTTCTTCCCCTCCTCCCACCCTGCAGGCGGCAGCATAGACAGCGACTGTGCCTTTGAAGGAGACTACGCCGTGCCCGCGCTCTCCATGACCGAGGGCATGCAGCACATTCGCATCATGGAGGGCGTGTCGCGCTCGCTGCCCTCCTCCCCGCTGCTCACACACCAGACCATCAGTGTCAGGCTGCAGCCCGTGAAGAAGCTCACAGGTAAACCCGCCTGCCGACACAGAGGCCCCTCCTTCCCCCCATAGACTAGTAGTGCTAAATCAGCCTTCCTTAGACCCTTCGCCGTGGCACGCAGAGAATCCCACAGACATCAAAGCAGACTGATGGTCGTCAATGGTAACAAACCCCCCCCCCCCCGTCCCCCGGGCCTTCGTCAAAACTCTGGCCATTACAAAAATATGGAAATATGGGAATTGCAAAGTCGTGACGGGCCCTCGGCGTCCCAGGGAATGCGGAGGAGATCTCCTGCTCCCCCCCTTCCGTCTCCACCCATTAACTGCGTTATGAGTCTGTGTCCTGTTCCCTCTGCGTTTAGTATAGAAGATGAGGGGGTTTTTGCGTTCTGGCACAAGGGGAGGCGCGGACGTCCGAGGCTCGCCGCCGCGCTGGTTTTTCAAAATGAGAAAATGAAATATTGGCATTGCAGCTTTCACCCAATATCAGCGCGGCGCCCACAAGGAGGGAGAGTGGGAGTGAAGGACTTGATTTCAGGAGACACCACTAGGGCGCACTAGCCTCTCAGCTACTTTAGATCATTAACCTTCTCTGAATGCAGGGAGGCGCTGTGGGGGTGGAGGGGGGTTCTTTTTTTTTTTTACATCACACAGAATGATTTATGCTCTCTCCCAGGTCATCTCAAGAGTGGGGGTTTTAAAGAGGAAACACTGACTAATCGTCTTTCTCTTCTACCTGGGTAAAATGTAGGGGATGCTCTTTGGAGGAGCATCAAGTCCATCTTATCGCGTTCTTTCTCTCTGCTCACTGAGGAGACACGTTTGCTCGGTCTGTTTTTTTCTTTAACTTGGCATTGCAGTCTGATTTAATGTGAACACTTTCATCTGCGTGGATCAAAGTGATTTCTTTTTTACAATGTCAGCGTGTAAATGAGTATAAATATCTACATATATATATATATATATATATATCTACATATAAATATCTACATGAATATATGTGTGCGTGTTACTTGTGTGAGAGTAGCCTGATTTATGACAGCAGAGCTGCTTCATTGTTTCTACTCTTCACAGGGCGAGAGGTCTGTTGCAGTATTGTCCCACTCGGCTTGTTTTCTTGAGCCGGTCAGCTGCTGGCTGTGAAGGCCGCTTTGATGTGTTCATTTTTGAAAATCGGGATAGTCCATCTTTTTTTTAAATATCTTGTGTGTCTCAGCTGATTATTTTACTATTGCGTAATTTGCCCTCTTTCTTTCCCATCTTCAGTTATACTCCATGTTCTCCATGGTTTCATATCTAACCCAACTAGGGTACACTACAGAGAACCCTGTTATACATGCATGGTTTCATATCCAACCAACTAGGGTACACTACAGAGAACCCTGTTATACATCCATGGTTTCATATCTAACCCAACTAGGGTACACTACAGAGAACCCTGTTATACATCCATGGTTTCATATCCAACCAACTAGGGTACACTACAGAGAACCCTGTTATACATCCATGGTTTCATATCTAACCCAACTAGGGTACACTACAGAGAACCCTGTTATACATGCATGGTTTCATATCCAACCAACTAGGGTACACTACAGAGAACCCTGTTATACATGCATGGTTTCATATCCAACCAACTAGGGTACACTACAGAGAACCCTGTTATACATGCATGGTTTCATATCTAACCCAACTAGGGTACACTACAGAGAACCCTGTTATACATGCATGGTTTCATAAACGGTTTGTGTTGCAAATCATCCTCAGAGAACCCTTTTCTTATAAAAATGGGTTTATAATGAGCAAAGGTTTCTGGGTGAACCCACAGCTCTATAGGAAGAACTCAGTGTTTCTGTGATTGTGGCCTCTCGGGACTGAAATCTGTCCATCACAAAAAGCGAAAAATGTCGTTCTTCACAAGTCTTTTCACAACTTGCATGAAAGTCCTGAAAGACGTGTTTCCTCTCTCAAGTGGAACTGGGTCCCAACCACCCTGGCTTTCTCACCCTTTAATTAATTCAACTCAGCGCCACCTCTTGCGCAGCCTGACAGGACTGTGTGTGTGCGAGGGAGCTTGTGCGCTTACGTCAGAGGGCAGAACCCTCTTCCGTGCCAGAGGTGGGAGAGACAGACGTGGCAGATAGTTGAGCACTAAAGAGAGCAAACAGCGGCGGGTCCAAAGCCTGCAGCTCTTTGATCCACTTCCCCCTCCCATCACCCCCCGCCAGTGGCCTCCACCACCCAGCAGCCCCTCTTTGGCCCTCCTGTGGCCGAGCGGTGGTGTTGGCGAGGGCTTTGGTTATCTGACGGAATGGAAACTCCATGAAAGCTCTGACCTTTTTAGAGAGCCATTGCGTTTCTGATTGAATCCCCTCCGCCTGCATGAAGACTCTCGAGGGGTCAACGTGTAAAACCGGCGGGCGAGGAAGGCAGCCGCCGCACGCCGAAGTGTGTAGTTTAACCAAGTGATACCGACCGCTGGTTGGATGAAAATATACTGTCTGAGAACACTTGATATGTCTTGATATGAGTAAAGATACTATACAGTTAAAAGATACACTTTGTTATTAAAGAATACAGTGTGGTAGTTTATAGATGACACTCAGGTCGTAACAATACATTTTGTTCTAATTCAAATTTTTTTTAAATCACCCAAGATACCCAACAAAATAAATGACCTATGACCAGCATAAAATATCCTCGAGGTATTTCATGCTGCTTTCTCTTTCTCCTCCACTACATCTCACAGGTGTAAGCTGTGTTCATGTCAGAGGTATAGTTACTTTCCAAATTAAGATTCTTCAAACAAATCATGTAATCGGATTATAATAATTTACTACTTTGGAGAAGAGATTTTACATAATAACAAATTTTCAGTGGAACTGGAAGATGTTTCCTGATATAACAATGTTCCCCTGCTGTGCGCGGCATGAAAACATTTATTCTCACCAGTGTTTCAGAAATCCGACATCGTCGTGCATTTTTCCAATAACCCATGTGGCGTGTTTACATTCTCTATATTTAGTCAGCAGTTTATAAGACCACGATGATGATCACTGATTGCTCCTTTGTTCTTTAATAAACACCTCACTCAAGCGTCGGGCTCGTCAGAGACCTCGGCCCAGAAGATTGATCGGGCCCCGCTCCACTCTGAAACATTTAAACGGTATTATTTCAACATCTTTCCACAGGTTACGCCGCTTTCCGCTAATTAATGGCGGCAATCAATACGATTATTCACTCCCCATGGACTGCCGCATGAAGGTGGTAAATTGCATTTGGCCTTAAAACCCAGAGAATCTGCTTGATTTAATTGTACCAGCTATTTTTTTTTCTCCCACTCTTGCTGCACTTATCACAGTATGTAATAAAGTATGATAAGTATATCTGAAATCTATTGTCTCTCCTACAGTAGTGGTTGAGCGGCATGTGAATGATTTTTACTGCGCTGGAGTGAATTAACATCTAAATGGACGTATGACGTGTGTATGAAAATGCAGAATTAACAAGTCTCTGTGTGCAGACCTGCTTAGTCAGCTTTTACAGCTCATTGCGTGGGTGTTCCCAGAGAATCCTCATTAAAGACGGTAACTCGTGATGAATGCTGCGTTTCCTGGGCTTTGCTCATTGTTTCGGTGGTATTATGTGTCCAACTGGATCTGAGAGGATCACTTGTTGGGGTATTGCATGAAACTTTTTAATTGTGTCAAAAAATATTTTGGGATCAAAAGTGGCATCTGTGAAATGGAGCATATGATTACATCAAGTAGTGGGTGAGGCAAAATGCAAAGAAAAAGGCCATAAAAAGTCAAATGTTCCTTCTCATCACGGGAGTCCGTTTCCTATGATGTCTGATGATGTAGACGTAAAAGCTACACTTGATAAGGAATGAATGCAATGTAATAACAGGTGAGGCGACTGCAGCTCTGGTGGTTGCTGGTGGGAAACAACCACTAGACCACAATGCTAGTTTCCTCTATTCTGCCAACACAAAATAAATCAAGGTCTGATTCTTTTTTTGGTGTTTTTTGACGGTAGGTTCCTATTACATCCCAAACCGTCATGGAATTACAGATTCTATTTTTATTTTTCTGAATACTTTAACTGATGTATTGTCAGTATTAGCATATGTATTACTTGATTATTATTATATATTTTGATGCATCAAACTTGACAAAATGCCTTAAATGCCTTTTGTATATATATCTCTCACAATAAATGATTCATTTGTAAAATCTTTAAGGCTGACTAAATTGCTTGTAGGGTTAAACTTCAACGCACAAACTCCCTAAAGTCTCTGCATCATGTAAACAAAGAAATGCCTCCGCCTGTATGTTTCATAAGAGCATATGAGTGGATTCCCAACGTGAAACATGGTATTTTCCTTGTAGTCCTTCATGACGCCTCGTCCTCTCTGTGTGTTATTGAGAGGAGGGCTGACATTTGGGGCACCTCTGCCCCCCCCCCTCTCCTCGCCTCGATGGCCAGCTCTACGTTTTATGCGGCACCTGGTAATCCTTCTGCTTTTTAAATGAACACCGGCATTTGGGGCCTCTCGATCTCCCACGCCTCCGCCTCGTTCTTCAAATTATTGTCATTATTGCGTCGCCTCAACCGTCCCCGGCCACCGCGGACCCTCCAAATAATTGGTTCCACAGAAAGGAATTGTGACGTTCTCTGCTCTGCTGTCGCAGGTGAAAAGTAAAGAGCGGAAGGTTAAGTGAAGAAAGGAGTAATTGAAATGGCTGTTTGACGCCCGCAGGAGAACCAGCTGGATTAAGAGCTGTGACAGAACCTCTTTTCATCGTGGTGTCATATCGCGGCATATCTACCTTTTCTTCATTCAGTGCCAACATCAGTTTGATTTTGGTCCACTCTTTAATTTTCTCCATATCAGATATAATTAGCAAAACGTTTTGAATCGAATAACTCAGTAGGGATTTTTCCCCGGTGATGGTGCTTTCGCAAAAGAGTTACACGGGGAGATTTTAGCTAATTATCACTAATGTGGATATAATGGTTAAGTGG